GTCCTCTGTCAGCCCGAAATTCGAAACATGGAAACAGCTCATAGTGACTCAATGTTCCTATATAGAGAACACTTCAACATGGTTCACTTTGCATATTGCGCAAAATATATTTTCTGCCAGGGCCCAACTTCACACAACCGAAGGATACACCCTTTGGCAATGCCTGAACAAAATCTGGGGAGTGCTGGACCCTGTAACGATTCAAAAATACGAAATAAATCCAAAGTATAGTGTGATTTATAATGTGGGATATGGGCCAGTTTAAAGAGATGTGAGCCTCTGGTCATCTTGAATATTGTTTCTAACAATGTTTCGGTCCCCTACCTCCTACCAGACAACCTCTGTTCTCACTGGAACGTGCAAAACCCACCCAAGCTTGTAAAATCGATTGTCGCCCAGAAACAAGAGCAGTCGAGTTCCTTTGTTGGAATTGGGTAGAGGTAACCATGAAGTTGCTTGGGCTGCAGTATAAAAGCATGGGAATGTGTTTCTATGTGTGTTCATCTGGTCGCTCCACATTTGATTGGCCAGCAGGGGCTGGCGCACCCCCGCAGTCAACCCCGCCCAATCCCCTGCAAGAATTGTATTCACAAGGTTTCTGCGCAATTCTTTGTCAGGGTTCTGTGTATTAGCACACTCATTACAGTGTCTCAATGTGATGTTCACAGGTTATATTCAATCCAGCAAATGATGCTTGTAACAGCTGTATCAAATATGCTATTAAAGAGAGTGAAACATTGGAGATGCAGTCATCCTTAAAAAGCGGGAGGACCACTTCAGCTGTTCGGAAGGGGAGCAGTAGCCATGACTATTCCTGCTGATCAATGTAGCTGTGACTGGACAACCCCCTTGGGGATTTGCTGAACACATGTAGTTGCACATTTTTTAATATGTTAGCATCTTTTGAAGCCACAAACTCCACCAAAATGTACTGGCAAAACCATGCTTTAATCTCCTACCCCCCACCGAAACATTGGTAAATCACATGACTTGACCTGGAGACCCAGCCAAAACATGCGGGCAATGTTGTGTATCTTTATCCCCCATTCCCTGCCAAAATAGAGAAAAGTTACGTGATATTCTACAACCCTAGCCAGAGTAGATACATCAAAATTTTGTGTAATCCACCCCTGCCCCTGCTCCCCCACCAGACCCCGCATCAGACCCCGCACCAGACCCCGCACCAGACCCCGCACTGGGCCCTGCATCAATTGCAATATCCAGTTACACATCTTCACCTTCCCTATTGGCTTTGTCTACCTTGATAAGATATTTCATAAATGTTTGTATTCTTGCCCTGGTGGTCAGCAGCACTACTGCTACGGCTAAAGGAGGTCAAATATAGAATATGCCAGACTGACCCCGCGGCAGACCCCGCCAGATGATGGGATCAAGCGCATCAACAATCCTATTGTGCAGGGTGCATTTGGGGTTTTCTAAGCTCAAATGCATGGTCAATTAGTGTATTTACCTATGGAAATTATACTGGGATGATTTAGAGAGGCTTCCATTTTTTTTTTGGCGGAAAATCACGTGATTTTGCGCCCACTGTCTGCCACAACATGCAATCTATCAAGCAGCACCTCCAAAATCATGCCAAATGGTGCAAAAAGGGGCCCCCAAAAAGTCACGTGATAATGCGCCCACTGCCCGCTGCAGTGTGCGGGAGGGGCGGTAGCGCCCCCGCCAACGCCCCTGCCAACCCCCGCCATTTTGAAATTTTTCCTGCAGCTCATCACGTGATTTTCCCGCCATCCCGCCCATTTGGTGCATCATGTGATTGATTTTTTTTTTCCCGCCCAGCTGCCCGCTCTTATGGACAAGTCACATGGTATGTATGGGCACCCCCGTCCTGACCCCCGTCCTGACCCCCGCCCTTCCCCTGCCCCAAAATGGCCAGCTGCCCCCTGTACCCCGCGGGGGGGGACCTCCTGGGTACCCATAGAGCTACGTCTAAGGGTACCCAGGAGGTCCCCCGCGGGGTCTATATGGGGGGTTGGCGGTGGTAACTGAGGTGTCAAGGCGGTGATAGGCTGGCTACCAGACGCGCTCTGCACCAGCTCTGTAAGGGCGTATTTTTGCGCTTTTACAGAGTTTACTCTCAAACCATTCGGTGTATCATGTCGCGGTTGACAGTGTTACGTTCAGTAGGGCTTAAGGGTCTACTGCCCAGTGGACGACTGTGGACAGTGTCGACGATAGCAAGGCAGTCAGACCACTACTGTGGAACTGGTCTTATGAGTCTATACCAGGCTCAGGGCTATTAGTGACGAACGCTTGGACCGTGACAATTCCCCAAAAAGGGATCTTTGTTGCGGCGACTTCTCAAAAAGGGTCATTCTCTGCAGATAGGAACTTGGGCTGAAGGGCTGAGCAATGTGCAACGTTCTCAATAATACAACTACTACTGGACAGGACTTGGCGTTACGAGATTGAACCAATCTTGTCGCGGCAACTCCCAGTTTTGGGTTGGACGTTTCCTCAGATCATGCCACGGCGACGACTTGTCACATGTCAGGATCCATTTGATCACGGGACATTGTGGATGCGTCGCGGTGACACTTCCAAAGTGTCACGGCGAGTTGCGCCCATACCCAAACACACTAAAATCGACATGGGCTAGATCCGTGAACCGAACCGTGTGAGGAACGTCTGGCGTGCCTAGGACCATACAGCTTCTTGGGGCACCCACGTTGGACTCACCTGCCAAGACATACCCGTTGGCCAATCCAGCACGTCGTATTCCAAAAGTATGACGCGGTGGGTTGGCCCACATCAAAAGTATCATATGGACTATGGGGCGGGGTCCTGATCACTCAGGACCTGTCCGATTGTTCAACTTTTCAATTACTCTAAAAGGCAACCGATCTTAGATAGCGTAGTTACTATGCAGTTGTACAGGACTTTGTAAGGGCAACCTCGAGACCCAATCTCAGAGTTCTGGCAAGGGAGAATCCAAAGGTGTTAATAGTGGTAGCTAGGTACAAGACCGGCATACCTGGCAAGGGAGAATCCAAAGAGAAACCGTGTTGGGGATTCTCCTTGCCAGGCGCCACTATTTATATGGTACAAGAACAATAGACCGCGCAGCGACAAACAAAGAACAATGGGAACAATAAGTACAATGGCCATGACAGAACAATAGGAAACGGAGACAATAGGAACAATGGCACCACCTGCCATCAGAGAGAAGCGCTCGGCGCAGCGGTCCGGGCTGCTGCGCATGACAGCTGACAGGTCACCCGAGCGTGATCGCATGCCAAATCCCAGGCTGATCGGTCTGAAGCGGGGGTTCCCCTGACAGACTTTACTAAGCATCGTCGTAGACAGTATAAGTAGCACAACGTGTCTTTGTATTAAGGAAGCTTTCCCCCGGACTGTGAATCACTCTCATTTCAGATTGTTTTGTACAATTTGCATGCCGCGTGATTCCACCCTAAGAAGTTCTGCCACCCCTGCCCGGTCGCGACGAGTTGCTCCCTGAGCACTTGTAGCTACTGTGATTTGAGTTTGAGTTGAGATATCAGAAAGTCGGATTCGCTGCATCTGGTTTAGTCGCGGCATTTAGTGTCGTCGCCTTTGGGCATCGTTGAGATTGTTTCCACACCTCTAGTTTGGCAGTGCGTCGACTAGTTGTGCTCGGTAGTTTTGGTCAGTTGGCAGCGCGTCGACTTGAGAACTTTGGTTCCACACTTCTTGCTTGGCAGTGCGTCGACAAGTTGTGCTCGGGTTTTGGACATTGGATATTGGCTGTTAGTTGGCAGTGCGTTGACGCGGCATTTTGGTTTACTAGTTGGCAGTGCGTCGACTCAGTACTTTTGGTTGTGTCAGTTGGCAGTGCGTCGACTTGACATTTTGGTTCTACTAGTTGGCAGTGTGTCGACTCAGTATATTGGTTGTATCGGTTGGCAGTGCATCGACTTGGTATTTGGGCTTTGCATCGCCATTTAGACGCTGTCGCTACAAGGGATCTTAATACTTTGTATTAAGCTCTGACTTGTTATATTGTTGGTTGTGATTGGATTAGTGTTGGTTTCGTTTGTATAGAAGATATTGGTTGAGACACCATTGTTTACTACAGTAAGTGGACAAAATGATTGACTGATCAGTTCTCTTTGATTAAAAATGGGCTTTCCAGGCTCTTAGAGCTCATATCATCCTAGGGTCTCTAAGAACAAAATGTAGCCTTGGGCCTGTAGAATAGTCCACTGAGCCCCTGAAGTTGTTGCAAAATTATTTGTAGAGATATACTACCAATTATCAATGACTGGTTTTACAATAAAGACAACATTTTGCTTCTGTGGCCAGCCTTGAGTCCTGATTTCAATGTCATCTAGCACATGTAGGACCCTCTCAAACATATAGTGAAAGGTCAGCACCCACTGCCATCAAGCAAGGAGTATTCCAGGCAGGGGTGGGCACATTTGAACATGGACAAGAGTTTCATTTACTACACTGTAATCTGGAGTTCTAGATATTCTACACATGGAAACTAATACTCTTAAGGTGCATTTCATTCCAATTGACCCTTGGGCAATATCAGCTCTGTGAGCCAGGACAATCAAAAAACTGATCAGTCAATCATTTTGTCCACTTACTGTATATATAAATTCTTGTCGTTGACTTCATCTTCCGTGACTATTGATCTGCGTCTATTGAGAGTTGTGATACTGGTGCTCTGTCCACCCCGAAGCCCTCGCATCTTTCACACATTGAGAAGCTGATTACAAGGAGTGTGAACATGTTTATCTTTGGGTTTACTTTCATAGTAGATTCACCTGTGAGCACGCCCTCAGCATTTCAACGCTCTCCCCAGTGCTCAACACGCAGCAATACTGGGCTCAAAGTTTTGTTCCAAGGGCATTCAATATCCCTCTCTCCTCCTACATACACCAAATCTCATAATATCCAGTCATGCTTGTTCAATTATGGAAATGGCCAACTAGCTGGGGTGGCCAACCAGCCAGTCACCAATAGTCTCCACGTTGGATGATTTTCCTTAAGGATTGAAAATGTTTTAGAATATTTTGAGGCGCCTACGAATGTTTTAAATACAATATCGACATGCTTTTCTTCAATTGAACATCAAACTATGAATCAAAAATATCATGGTGTCTGCCAACTGTTTTTGACTTTGTCTTTCCAACTCTCAGTGGCCTTGACGACCCATTGTGAATGATCCTGAGGACTCTTCGAGTGGTCTAACACCTGGAACACCAAGTCAATAATTTCGGCGCTGGTCAAATCTGGACCTCCGGTGTTAGCATGTAGGCGTGCCCGATCGAGCACCTTGATGCATTCCAATGGAACATACTCGGGAGGTAGGCTACCCCAATTGCGTTCGTTCGCTTTCAAGGCCGCGACATCCCAGTTGTTCGTCGGCAGATGGGAGGTCTGGTGCAATGCTCGCTCAAGATCATGTGGCCCCCAGCTGACGTCGTTGAACGTGCCGTCGTACCACACAAAGTCTTTCCCCCTCCCCTTGACAGGCGGGCTGGCACTCACGATGGTATGCCAGCAGCCGAGGACGATGATGGCCGCCGCAAAGAGCGATCCAGGCTCGGCTTCTCTGCCACTCAACAAAGCTTTGACGAAAACCGGGGAAACAGCATGTTGCCAGAGCCGTCGCCGCTGTCGCTGATATGTCATGAACTCAGCATGGATCAGGAGCTTGAGCTCGGGCGGGAGCTCCGACGCGGCAGCGAGGATCTCGTCCTCGGTTTTGCCGTCCGCTGACGGTGTCGATGACGAGAGCAGGCTGAATGTGCGTCCAATCATCGTGGCATGGACCGCACAATTGATGTACGCTGTCATTGGGACCACCGGATCCCCGCCCCAGTACAGCGGTGGGGTAACGGATTGCGTAACGACGTCGTGGATCATGAAACCGAGCGCAGGGGCGAGATTAGTGTCGAGAAGCTCGGGAAGGAGCAATGCATCGATGTCGTGCGGATTATGATGCGCCGCGTTGAGCAGAGGGAAAGCGGTCAGCGGAGGTTGCTCGATCTTGAGGCTTAGTTTGCCTTTGTTCTTTGGATGTCGAATCATCGAGACCGGGACGACGGAAAGCCGTGGAGGCACGCAGCTTTCTTGACATGGCTGTGTTGATCGGTGATCGGTCCGGAGTCCGAGCACGAGAGAAGCCGCTTCTTTCCTCATCATGGATTCTAACGCCCACGACAGCCCACGCTCAGATCTTGCAAATTCGCCTAACCACGTCATGCATCATGAGACGCGAGAAACCGAAACAAATCAGACCTCCTGTGACCTGTCAGCACTCGGGCGGCAGAGCACTTTTACCGCCAGCGGCATCGGCGGCGACCATCTGACCGCCTTTCACCCTCTTTCACCCTGCCAAGATCTGTTGCGCTTCAAAATTGTCCAGAGGGAAGCCATATCCGACCTCGCGGTTGCTCGAATAAGTCTGATTGAAATCCCGGTCCGAGCCCGCAACTGGTATCAACTGTTTCGCGAGTTTCGCGAGATCTAGGAATTTGCAAATGCGGATTACAAGCGGACCAGAAGTTCTACTTCCGTCATCTTGCAAATGTTTTCCCCGCAGTCTCTGGTCATCTGCCCCACGTTTCTTTCTGGGGAAGATTGGCTGAAATAACACGGGCGCCGGAGAACCGATGCATAAAAGGTGGAGTGGACAGCACCAATAGGATCTTCACCAAGCCATGCAAGGTGCAAACTCGACTTTCAAGCGCTTGCTTGCTTTCCTTCTGCTCGTCAGCGCTGCAAGTGCTGACAGCTACACGGGGCCATACTCTGATGGTGGCTCGTGGGTCAAGGGGTACAATGCAGCAAAAGCCCTTGTGAGCCAGATGGTACGAACGCTCTAGCTGTTGTTTCGTCACTCCATGCTAATTCAATCCCTCGCAAGACGATTCCAGAGAAGGCATATATTATCGTTATTGAAACTAGCATTTTTGCTCATATCTCAAAAGGTCAACCTCACGACTGGATTCGATGGCTTGTGCGCTGGAGTCACTGGCGAGATCGCCCGACTCGGGGTACCGTCCCTCTGTCTCCAAGACGGCCCGGTCGGTGTCCGTCCTGTCCGCCGAGTCTCGCAGTTCCCGGCAGGAATCACGACCGCCGCGACATGGAATCGGGACCTGATTGCTGCGCGAGGGACGGCCCTTGCTCGCGAATTTCACGACAAGGGAGTCAACATCTGGTGCGCTCGCTTCGGACAGTGGTATCATTCATCGCTGATCGAGTTGCAGGCTCGGACCTGTCACCGGTGGGCCCATGGGACGCAGTCCATTCAATGGACGGCTTTGGGAAGGTGTGTGTGTCGAGCTTTTCGCACGGTAGAACGCTCGCTGAACTTGCCGCAGGTTTCGGTCCTGATCCGTGCGTAACACCGGTTGTTGACATGATGATTGCTTATCTCTTTCCGTAGGTACCTGCATGGGGTGGCTTCCTTCTTGACTGTCAAACATGCTCAAGCGGAAGGTGTGGTCACCTGTTCTAAGCATTATATCGGATACGAGCAGGTAGAGATCTCCTTGCGCCTGAATGTCCAGATTCTCAAGATCTGTTTGCAGGAAACGTATCGGAACCCTTGGGGCTTGGCCGAGGCCTATGACGTGTTCCCTGTTCTGGAACAGGATCCGATTTCTTCCAACTTTGACGACAAGACAGCCCACGAACTGTACTTGTGGCCGTTTGCAGAGGCGGTTCGCGCCGGCTCGGGGACCGTCATGTGCTCGTATAACGAAGTGAACTCAACACATACGTGTGCCAACGATGTCGCCCTCAACAAGTGGCTCAAAGGAGAGCTCGGCTTCCAGGGATCCGTGGTGTCGGACTGGGGTGGAACGTGGGACACGAAGACCTCGTCATTATTCGGGCTCGACTTGACGATGCCGGGATCTGGTTTTGCCAAGCTGTTCGGCAACTTTTACGGCGACGAATTGACCGCGTTGGTGCAGAATGGGACCGTTCCGGAAAAGCGCTTGGATGACATGGTGCGTGGAGTGCGACCTATGCGAGTGCCTGCTCTAACATGTTGGTAGGCTTTACGAACACTGGCTCCCATTCTGGAGTATCAGAACCTGCAGACATATCCCCGTCCGACCTTCAACGAGTCTGATCTGACACTTCCCACCAATAACGTTCGCCGGGACCACTACAAGATCATCCGCCAGGTTGCGCAGGAGGCGATAACGCTCGTCAAAAACAATCGCACGGGCGGGCTTGGCCTGCCGCTTCCAGCTCCCGCAGACATGGCCTCGCTGGCTGTGATTGGACAGGACGCTGGCCCAGCTCCGTGGGGAATGACCTCTTGTGGCACTTCGGGCAATGCCTGTCTGTCCGGGGGCAATAATGGTACACTGACCATGGGTGGGGGCAGCGGCTTCGCTTATCCGCCATACACGATCGACCCTTTGGCAGCCATCAACGCGTATGTCGCTGCCGATGGCCCAGACATTAATCAGCACCTGGAGAACTACAACTTGACGGCCGCGGCATTGCAAGCCAGTGTTTCGGAAGCTGCGATCGTTTTTCTGAGCGCCTTCTCTTCGGAGGGCTTCGACCGCGCCAATCTGACCACGTATCCCAATGGGGACTCTCTCGTGCAAGCGATCGCGGCCGTCAACAAGAACACGATAGTGGTCTTGCACGTCCCCGGCGCGGTGATTGTGGAGGACTGGATTGATCATCCCAATGTGCGAGGCATTTATCGCTTCTTTTCGGTTTCTCAATCTCTGTGATAGGTTACTGCTGTCCTTATCGCACATCTTCCTGGCCAGGAAAGTGGCAACAGCCTCGTGCCTGTGCTCTGGGGCGAGACATCGCCATCGGGAAAACTTCCATACACATTTGCCAAGGATGTTTCTGGTGCGTTCCGCTCTCTTGGTTTGTTGCTGGCTGAATGACCGAACATTGGATAGACTGGCCCCCGAATGGCATCATGTCCGACGCTGTTCTCAAACCCCAGGTCAACTTTACGGAGAAACTGCTTGTCGATTACAAAGTGCGTTGCGAGAGGCACCGAGATGAACGGAAATGTACTGATTGCCCGGGTAGTGGTTCGACGCGAAGAACATCACGCCTCGCTTCGAGTTCGGCTTTGGGCTGAGCTACACGACCTTCTCTTTCGGCAAGCTTAGCCTCCAAAAGACCTTCCAGGCCGACAACACATCGATTCAGCCAACCGCCGAGCAGTTTGTTGCACTCTCGGGTGACTCTGGCAAGAGCATGTACGATGTGCTATACACTGCAAGTTTCCCACTTCTGAGAAGTAAGAAACTTGACTGATTGTCGTCCAGGCTACTGTATCTGTGAAAAACACCGGTAAAGCCGCGGGCGCCGAAGTGGCCCAGCTTTATGTTTCGGTCTGCAATGTCCTGCGCCGCCAAATTCGGTTACTCAACGTTTCTTAGTTCCCATCAACTGAAGATCAGCCTCCGCGCGTGCTGCGTGGGTTCGACAAACTCAGCTTGAAACCCGGGCAACAGGGCACCGCGACCTTCGAGCTGACGAGGAAGGATCTCTCGGTGTGGGACGTGAGCGAGCAGAAATGGAGAGGTGCGTTGTTGGACTTGAGTCCACCTTTGCTGTCACTGACCATTTGGTCTAGTTCCCAAGGGCTCGTTCACGATATCCGTCGGTGCCTCCAGTCGCGATCTGCGTTCGGAGCTTGTTCACGACTTTGCATGATAAAATTTACGACGAGAGTCCATTGTATATTAATTGGGCATGTTTCTTTGCACCCACTTGGTGAATATTCACTCATGATCTACGACTGAACTCGGACTCGCATTTCATGATACCTATGCGCGCTCAGAAGCAGATGACTTTGGAAGTTGGCATACATGACAGAGACCAGCCGTGGTCATTTGAGCGCTCCGAGGTGGATGCTGCCGCTGTTCCCGTACTAGCATTCGTCTCGAGTATTGAGCAGAGGTGATATGTCCAGGTGCATGGCGGCGTCCCCTCTGCTTTGTGTCTCCCTCCAACATCGGCTGAATTCGTCGGAACTCCGCATCTGCTTTCGCGCGTCGCTCCAAGAATTAACTCAGCCTGGTCCTGGTCGAGCCTTCACAACGCGTTCATATCGCGTGTTTGAGGCGCTTGTGCCGGTCAATACGCGTTGACAAGCGTGTCACATATCAGAAAGGACTGAGAGCGAGACATTTGTGACGACGTGACTGATCATGTCACATTCTCTTTTCATCGTGCTCGGTCTACCGTTCCCTGTATGTAGGCGGTATGAGTGAAAGCGGATTTTCCATTTCTGTTTTTACGGGACTAGAGATACCTGGTCTGTTGGGCAGAAACTCGAAAAGCCGAAGCATAAAACAGTGCAACGTAAAGGAAGCGTCATGTTCCTGCTAATTCTTGCTCGCGTGACCAGCCTGCCGTTCTTGATCGCCGCTATGCCAAAAGGGGATATTACCCCACACCTACCCCACACTCCGGTATTCCAATTTCTCGTGGACAGCCGACGGCACAAGCGTGAACTAAGCGACCGGGGGACTTATAAGTGCCAGGACACACCGGGATCGAGAACCTGCGCATTGCAAGCGTGGGGGGAGTCCGGCTACTCACGGCATGCTCTGGGCAGCTTTCTAGGCGTTCAATCGGCGACGGGGAAGGCGGATGATCACGGTCGAGAATGAATTCTCGCTCTGCTCATGACTACGAACCAGGTGCATGTGACTGGACTGGGCTAAAGCGGGACCGTATAGACAGGTTTGGGTTTGCTTACAGCTGTGAGTCTCAGACACTCCCACGTCGCTCTTGCCTCTCCCCACCAGCTCGACCCCCAAAGCCAGAAACCAACTCTAAAGCGCACAACCATGGTGTAAGTACATCTCTCCTGGCCTAGACAAAGTCTGACGACTATTTCGAACAGGAATTTCACCGTCGGTTCGTGGGCGTCGTCCTGTCTCAGCCCGCGGCCACTAAATCCGCACAGACCAGATCCGGGCACTCATGGATCGTCCCACCAACATCCGGAACATGAGTGTCATTGCACACGGTACGGCGTATTTAATTCAGGCTAGATCGTCGCTGAGTGTGGCCTAGTCGACCACGGCAAGTCGACGCTGACAGATTCGCTGGTCTCCAAGGCTGGTATCATCGCCAGCGCAAAGGCCGGCGACATGCGTTTCACAGACACTAGAGAGGACGAGAAAGAACGTGGTATCACGATCAAGTCCACAGCCATCTCCATGTGCGTGTTCTGGCATCCAGGTCCCGATCGGGTCTCTAAAGCAGGTTAGGTACTTCGAAGTCGACAAGGAGGAAGTCGCCTCAATCAAGCAGAAGACGGACGGTACCGAGTTTTTGATCAACTTGATCGATGCAAGTGCCCTCAGTCCGCCCACAACGTCTGCATGCTTACGGGGATCATCAGAGCCCGGGTCACGTGGACTTCTCATCCGAAGTGACTGCTGCCCTCCGAGTGACCGATGGTGCCCTCGTGGTCGTCGACTGTGTCGAAGGTGTCTGCGTGCAGACCGAGACCGTGCTGCGCCAAGCACTGACCGAGCGGATCAAACCGGTGGTCATCATCAACAAGGTGGACCGCGCGCTGCTCGAGCTGCAGGTCACGAAAGAGGACTTGTACCAATCGTTCCAGCGGACGATTGAGAGCGTGAACGTCATTGTGTCGACATACCACGACGCAGCCCTGGGTGACGTTCAGGTGTATCCGGACCAGGGCACCGTCGCGTTCGGTAGTGGACTGCACGGCTGGGGATTCAGTCTCCGCCAGTTCGCCAACCGATACGCGAAGAAGTTTGGCGTCGACAAGGAGAAGATGATGTGCGTTTGGTTGATCGATGTTGCCGCTCGCTGACATGCAGATGCGCAGGGCCAAACTCTGGGGAGACAACTTCTTCAACCCAGCGACCAAGAAGTGGTCCACGAAGAACAACGCCGATGGGAAGACCCTCGAGCGTGCCTTCTGCATGTTTGTTCTCGATCCGATCTTCAAGGTCTTCGATGCAGTGATGAACTTCAAGAAAGACGCCATCGGGCCTATGCTCGACAAACTCGAGGTCAAACTGGCACCAGATGAGCGGGACCTCGAAGGCAAGGCCTTGCTCAAAGTCGTGATGCGCAAGTTTTTGCCCGCAGGCGACTCCCTCCTCGAAATGATTGTCATCAACCTGCCTTCGCCAGCGACAGCACAGAAGTATCGTGTCGAGACATTGTATGAAGGCCCGATGGACGATGAGTCGGCGATCGCGATTCGCGACTGCGACCCCAAAGGACCCTTGGTCTTGTATGTGTCGAAGATGGTGCCCACATCCGACAAGGGTCGATTCTACGCTTTCGGACGTGTTTTCGCAGGAACAGTCCGCTCCGGCCCGAAGATTCGAATACAGGGCCCGAACTATCTTCCCGGCAAGAAAGAAGACCTGTTCATCAAGTCCATTCAACGGACTGTGCTGATGATGGGTCGCTATATCGAGCCGTTGGAGGATTGTCCGGCTGGCAACATTGTCGGTCTCGTTGGAATTGACCAGTTCTTGTTGAAGAGCGGGACATTAACAACATCCGAGACCGCGCACAACATGAAGGTCATGCGTTTCTCCGTATCACCTGTCGTGCAGGTTGCCATCGAAGTCAAAAACGCCGCGGATCTGCCGAAACTCGTCGAAGGGTTGAAGCGTCTGTCGAAATCAGATCCGTGTGTGCAGACCTGGATCAACGAGACCGGCGAGCACATCGTTGCCGGCGCTGGAGAGTTGCATCTCGAGATCTGCTTGAAGGTGGGCTGCTCGAGGTATTATTGAGCGAAGGCCAAGCTGACGACGCGACAGGATTTAGAAGAAGATCACGCGGGTGTCCCGCTGAAGAAGTCGGAGCCTGTGGTTCCGTACCGAGAGACGGTCAAAGCAGAATCTTCGATCGTCGCTCTGTCCAAGTCACAGAACAAGCACAATCGTCTCTACATGAAGGCTTTACCACTAGGGGAAGAGATGACAAAGGCCATCGAGGACGGCAAGGTTAGCGCGCGTGATGACTTCAAGGCCCGGGCTCGGATCATGGCCGACGACTTTGGCTGGGACGTCACCGACGCAAGGAAGATCTGGGCCTTTGGTCCGGACACGACCGGTCCCAACCTGATGGTTGATGTGACCAAGGGTGTCCAGTATCTGAACGAGATCAAAGATTCGTGCATCGCTGCACTCCAATGGGCCACCAAGGAGGGTGTTTGTGCAGATGAGAACATGCGAGGCGTTCGCTTCAACATGCTCGATGTCACTGTGAGCGGCCAGACATGCGACTCACGGACGTTTTGCTAAGGCAGGAACAGCTGCATACAGATGCGATCCATCGAGGTGGAGGTCAGATCATCCCCACTTGCCGTCGGGCGTGTTATGCCGCTTGTCTGCTGGCCGAGCCTGGACTGCAAGAGCCCATCTATCTCGGTAAGAGCTTTGACGATGCCCTCGCTTCTTCTGCTCATCTGGTGCCCAGTCGAGATCCAGTGTCCAGAAGGCGCGATCGGCGGCATCTACAGCTGCCTGAACAAGCGCCGAGGACAAGTCTTCAGCGAGGAACAACGCATTGGCACACCTATGTTCACCGTCAAGGCATACCTGCCCGTTAACGAGTCCTTCGGCTTCAACGGCGAGCTTAGGCAGGCCACTGGAGGTCAGGCCTTCCCGCAAAACGTCTTCGACCATTGGGAGCTGATGGCTGGCTGTGGGTTCCATCCGAAGCCCGACACTCAATAAACTAACTTTTGGTAGCCCCACTCGACAAGGGAAGCAAAATCGAGGAACTTATCACGAAGATGCGCGTCCGCAAAGGTCTCAAGGTGAGTTGGTTAGCTTCATCCACCGCGCGAGTCGCCCAAACTTTCCAGCCCGAAATCCCGTCTCTCGACACGTACTACGACAAGCTCTAGTCGCACGGATTGTTCTAACGATGAGTTTCACGAAATATTTGTCGAGAGTTGTTGTATTCAAATTCAATTGTACTTTTCAACTGGCGGTCTTCGTCGCAGGTTCGTCCTTCGATCGGAGATTGGATCGCATATACTCATCTATATTGCAGCTTCATCTGAGCGAGATGTGGTTAGATAGAGGTTTTCACTCACAGTAGGCTACGCACGTTGGACATGTGCGGGAACGGAAAAGACAAGCGCGATCGTCAAGTCACCGGGCACTGCCACATCACGTGCCCGTTACCAATATCGGATCCGAAGTTTTTCACCTTTTTCATCCTCTTCCTCACCGCAGGCTCACTCACCCCCTGCTCTCTCACCGATCTCTCGCAGCGTTCTGTGCGAGCATCGAGTTCCAAACATCTCTTAACTCTTCTTCATCTCAAGCTTCGACAACATGGTGTATGTCCAGTCCCCCGTTTCTAGCGCATCGTTAATCGCTCATCGATGCGCATTCAGTAACTTCACCGTTGACGAGATTCGTGGGCTCATGGACAAGCCCCACAACATCCGTAACATGAGTGTTATCGCTCACGGTAGGTGATGGATGGGCTGTGATTAAACAGGGTTTTGACTCCTCGCGCATAGTCGACCACGGCAAATCGACCCTCACCGACTCTCTCGTCTCCAAGGCCGGTATCATCGCCCACGCCAATGCTGGCAATGCCCGCTACATGGACACGAGGCAGGATGAGAAAGATCGTGGTATCACTATCAAGTCGACGGCCATTTCGATGTACGTCTCTAATCCCTTTCTGATCATCGCTCGTCAGCTCATGAGCTGTGCAGGTACTTCCAGCTCCCTGAGGAGGACATGGCTGCCGTCAAGCAAAAGAACCAAGGCAACGAGTTCTTGATCAACCTGATCGACGTGCGTACCAACCGACCGCTCCGTAAGCTCCGACTCTGACCACGACTTTACAGAGCCCTGGTCACGTGGACTTCTCTTCGGAGGTTACAGCCGCACTGCGTGTCACCGATGGTGCTCTTGTTGTCGTCGACACCATCGACGGTGTCTGTGTCCAGACTGAGACCGTGCTCCGTCAGGCTCTCGGTGAGCGTATCAAGCCCGTTGTCATTATCAACAAGGTCGACCGTGCGCTGCTCGAGCTTCAAGTCTCCAAGGAAGACCTTTACCAGTCTTTCTCGCGAACCATTGAGAGTGTCAACGTGATCATCTCCACCTACCACGATGCCGCTCTCGGTGATGTCCAGGTCTTCCCCGACCAGGGTACCGTCGCTTTTGGTTCCGGTCTGCACGGATGGTGCTTCACTCTGCGTCAGTTCGCTGCCCGCTACTCTAAGCGTTTCGGTGTGGACAAGGACAAGATGATGAAGCGTCTCTGGGGTGACAATTACTTCAACCCTGCGACCAAGAAGTGGTCGACCAAGGGCACTGACGCCGAGGGCAAGCCCCTCGAGCGTTGCTTCAACATGTTCGTCCTCGAGCCCATCTTCAAGGTCTTCGATGTCGTCATGGACTTCAAAAAGGACCAGCTCGGCCCCATGCTCGAGAAGCTTGACATCAAGCTGGACCAGGAGGAGCGTGAGCTCGAGGGAAAGAAGCTCCTCAAGGCCATCATGCAGAAGTTCCTGCCCGCCGGTGACTCGCTCCTGGACATGATTGTCATCCACCTTCCTTCGGCTGCTGCTGCTCAGCGCTACCGTGTTGAGTCTCTGTACGAGGGACCTATGGACGACGAGTCCGCCATCGGCATCCGTGACTGCGACCCCAAGGGTCCCCTCGTCCTGTACGTCTCCAAGATGGTGCCCACCTCCGATAAGGGACGTTTCTACGCCTTCGGTCGTGTGTTCTCTGGAACCGTCCGGGCTGGCCCCAAGGTCCGCATCCAGGGCCCCAACTACATTCCCGGCAAGAAGGACGACCTGTTTGTCAAGTCCATCCAGCGTACCGTTCTCATGATGGGTCGTTACATCGAGCCCCTCGAGGACTGCCCCGCCGGAAACATCGTCGGTTTGGTCGGTATCGATCAGTTCCTGCTCAAGAGCGGAACCCTCACCACTTCGGACACTGCCCACAACATGCGTGTCATGCGTTTCTCTGTGTCCCCCGTCGTGCAAGTCGCCGTCGAGGTCAAGAACGCTGCCGATCTGCCCAAGCTCGTCGAAGGTCTCAAGCGTCTCTCCAAGTCCGACCCCTGTGTCCAGACCTGGATCGCTGAGACTGGTGAGCACATTGTTGCTGCTGCCGGTGAGCTGCACTTGGAGATTTGCTTGAAGGCGAGCAACTGGTCTTTTTGCTTATCTACTCTCTTTGCTTATACTTTTGATAGGATCTCGAGGAGGACCACGCTGGTGTCCCTCTCAAGAAGTCCGACCCCGTTGTGCCCTACCGTGAGACTGTGAACGCCGAGTCCTCGATCGTTGCCCTGTCCAAGTCGCAGAACAAGCACAACCGACTGTACTTGAAGGCCATGCCTCTCGGGGAGGAGCTGACTCGTGCCATCGAAGACGGCAAGATCAACCCCCGTGACGACTTCAAGATCCGTGCGCGTTTGATGGCTGACGAGTTCGGCTGGGACGTCACCGATGCCCGCAAGATCTGGGCCTTTGCTCCTGATGGTAACGGCCCGAACATCTTGGCTGATGTGACCAAGGGTGTGCAATACCTTGCCGAAATTAAGGACTCGTGTGTTGCTGGTCTTGAGTGGGCTGCCAAGGAGGGTGTGTGTGCCGAGGAGAACATGCGTGGTGTTCGTTTCAACCTGATGGATGTGACGGTGCGTGAAGTCGATCTCGGCTGAGGATGTGGCCTGATGAAACTGCGCACAGTTGCACGCTGATGCTATCCACCGTGGCGGAGGACAGCTCATTCCCACCACCCGTCGTGTGATCTACGCTGCCTGCTTGCTCGCTGAGCCGACGTTGATGGAGCCGATCTTCCTTGTCGAGATCCAGTGCCCGGAGAACGCGATCGGTGGTGTCTACTCTTGCCTCAACATCAAGCGTGGCCAGGTCTTCAGCGAGGAGCAGAGGCCCGGAACCCCCATGTTCACCATCAAGGCCTACCTGCCCGTCTCCGAGTCGTTCGGTTTCAACGGTGCCCTTCGCCAGGCCACTTCTGGCCAGGCCTTCCCCCAGAGTGTGTTCGACCACTGGGAGCCTCTCCAGGGCTGTACGTCGTTCATCGTCTAATCTGTTATGTGTTGCTCAATGTTTGTTACTTTTTTCAGCGCCCCTCGAGAAGGGCAGCAAGCTCGAGGCCCTCGTCCAGGGCATTCGTACTCGCAAGGGTCTTACTGTGCGTCCATCCTGTTGCTTCTGCCCTGTTCTGGGTGCTGACTTCGTGACAGCCGGCCATCCCTGCCCTGGATACTTACTACGACAAGCTCTAAGATTAATGATGACGATTGACTGTAGACTGCCTTTTCTCCCTCTGTTTCCCTGTACGTGAATACGAGCTGAATGTATAACAAAAATACAATCTTGTATTCCCTGCATCAGCTGTTCGACGAGCTGCCACTTTACCCGCTTATCAGACTTGACAAACTTCTTTCTTCGCCTGTTGGGAAGAAAACGTGGTTCATGACTCTGTCCCAGTGATCTGTTGCCGGCGATACACGTGATCGCGAACTGATTACCTACCAACTGAATGTTGCTACCAGTGCTAGTGGCTGCTCTGTCTCATTCCGACATCTGTCGATATACTTCACTTATTCGCAAAGACCTGGAACTACAGAACTGGATGCTATGGTCTCACGCCTGTCAGAATAGTCTGTCGCGCCTGACATGATGCATGCTGCTGCATACATCCGTATCTCTGTTGCAAGCCTTGCTACTATGCCCCCTGCCGCTATACCCCCCAACATTCAATATTGCATCCCCCATTCATGCATCATGCGAGATCCACCGCGGTCGAAAGCGTCGCTTACATTCGTTACATGCGTCTCCGACCGTTGCGTCACTCCTCAAATCGCCTTGCGTTAAGACAATACTCCACGGAAGGGCCAACTACCGCGGAGCCTCAAACGCGTCTTTCTAGGGCTCGCATCGTGCTAGGGGCTAGTGGGGTGGCAGCAACCGCCATCTATACTCACCTGACAATGAATCGCCCTGCCGAGGGCGGTGGATTTTCGGATACAAGGCGCTCGTTCATCAACACGACCTTTGTATACACCGGGATCGGGATGGCAGTGTCTTCGGCGTTTGGGGCGATGTTCATGTACGACGCAGGATATCAGTTCATCGGGGCTGGGCCTTGGGGCATTGTGGCCATCGGTGTGCTGGGAGGACTTGCATCGATGGTCGGGATGACTTACACTCCACCGACACGGACGGTCACCAAACACTTTTTCTGGCTGGTGAGTATCAGATCCCCTGGGCGTCACTACTGTGGAATGCTCATGGGCGCGCTCGACAGACATCAAATTTCTTCCCAGCTCTGATGCTCTCGCCGCTGTTCTTCACCCATCCTGTTTTATACCCGCGGGTAGCGCTTTACACGGCAGCCTCTGTCTGTGCTTTCTCCTCGACGGGAGCCATGGCTACGAACAAGCAGTATCTGGTTTGGGGCGGCACGTTGTTGGCGGGTGCTTCAGTGCTGGCTCTATCGATGTTCGTTCCACGGATACTTCCGGAAGTCTCACGTCGCACTCTTGGAGCCAAAGAAGCGGTCTATCTGTACGGGGGAACTGCGTTGCTCAATGCTGTCTTCATTGGCCATCAGTGAGGGAGTTACAAATCATGTGCATCCTTGCTGAACGTCACCCAAGCACAAAGAAGATCGTGAAAGACTCTAGGACAATTGAACGAGGGCGGATGATTGCTGATCCACTTCTCACCTCAGTGGATAATCAGCAGTATCTGACTTGGCTCGGGTATGATTCATTTTCTTTAAAACACCGCCGTCACCCTGCTGACTCAACTCAGTTACAATTTCGGTCTCGGAAAGCTTCTCGCTACACGTATAAGCAAGTAAATATTTGACTGTATCTCTTACAATAGCAAGCAGAGCGGCTTTCGTGTATGTTCTCCATCGTTCCGTCCACCCGGCCGATGACGTAGATCATCGGCACTGCATAGCCACCATTCGTCATATAAGCCGGCGATTGGCGGCTGTAGTTCACACAACTTTCATCTTCACCTTCACATGTTTCGCCAGGGCCTGTCGTCGCTGCGACCAATTGGGGTCAACGCAGCCCGTGCGAAACCCTCAGCCTCCATCCGCCATTTCTCCCAACTCCGACCTAATATCCTGCAAACTCTGAGAAAACAACGCGAATCGTTGACCAAGCTCAAATTTCCTCGATACTCCACCGAAGTCCCAATAATCGAGACAGCGAAGCCAGTTTCATGGCAGCGTGTGGCTCTCATTGCTGGCGGTGTCGCTGGGAGCGTGGTGGTCCTCGACAGCCTCATGAACCGCGAGACGCGTGACGGGCTGTCCGTCGGCGAACGGTCTCTGCTCAATTCGACATTCGCATACACTGGCGTCGGGCTGGCGATCACCGCGGCAGCGGCGCGTGCGATGTTCACCTCGGGCGTCGCATTCCGGATCATGGCCGCGAACCCGTGGGTCGTCTTCGGCGCCAGTCTGGCGGGCGGGATTGGGTCCATGATGGGCGTGTTCTACACGCCTCCGGAGAACACCATCCCCAAGCATCTTTTCTGGCTGGTGCGTAGTGTGGTTTGCGACGGGCAAGTGGTGTGTGGACTGAAGCTGTTCTTTTCACTAGACCTTCAATGCGTTCCAAGCCGCCACGCTCTCTCCCCTTTTCTTCCTTAACCCTGCCGTTCTTGCCCGGGCCGGCCTATACACGGTCGGTCTCGTCGGTGCGCTCTCATATGTCGGTGCGACGGCGACGAACGACAAATACTTGATGCTTGGCGGTCCCCTCCTCGCCGGTGTCTCCGTAGTTGCCCTGAGCGCCTTCGCTCCCCTCGTGCTGCCCGTCACCGCTGTCCGGACCCTTGCTGTGACAGAGGCTCTCTACCTGTACGGTGGATTGGCCGTCTTTGGTGGATTTGTGTTGTATGAGTACGTACCAACACATTCCATGGATTCGAGTGCCCGCAACTGACCGACTGCCTGTTCAGCACCCAGAAAATCTTGGCGCATGCGCGGATGGCCGAGCAGGGAAGGATGAAGGCGGATCCCATCAACGAGGCTGTTGGTCTCCAGCTCGATATGATCAACATATTGTGCGTAGCAGCCTTTCCTGCCATCACAATGAGCCTGACCGTCTAACTAGCATTCGTCTCGTTCAAATCCTGTCTATGAACAACAACCGTCGGTAGGCGGTGCTTTGAGGGGCGGTCGCGCACAAGGATGAAGCCCTGTGTATTTTATCAGACGAATATGTATTTTTTGCGAATCCTTGCTCATTTATTCGGTCTGTGTTGTGATGGAGAAACGAAAATATGGACTGACTAGATCGTCCTGTAAGTGTGATGATAAGTATACGCAGAGATTCGACAGTTAAGCTGGTGAAAGACAACAAACATGATCCTCGATCGCCATGACCTTGATTGGGCACTCTTTGCGGCCATGACAGCTCTTTCCCTTTTGGGACCATGGGTGGTTATACCGCTGCGGCAGTCCGGTCCCAGTCTGGGCTCGACCATCATCATTGAGCTTCCATTTCCAGTGTGACGCTGGGTTATGGCCGGGCGACGTTTCAGGCAAGGCTCAAACCGTTTCGGCTTGGCAGATTCGGTTTGGCAGATTGAGACACTGCGTTGGCCTTACTAATGTCGTCGCAACTTCTGCAGTCGGTACCGGGTTGCTGCGTGCTTCCGCTGTCATTTCGATGCCGTCACTGGCTTCTCTCCCACTCAGCGCAGTGCGATGAAGCTCAGAATATGTGGTCGATGTTTGTTGACATACTGTACAGATGAAGAGGGCGGTGGTGAATACATCAGAATCTGGAATGTACACGAAGATTGCAGGGAAACTGGTACAGGGGAAGGATCAAAGGACTCGAAATGCAGACGGTCTAGAGTAGAAGCACACGATGACAACGAAGAGCGTGAAGGAAGAGACCAGCACAGACACGACAGCAGTCACCGGCGCAGCAACGGTCTCGAGGATCTGTGCAACCCCAATCCCGTTCCACCGGCGATGCGATTTGCCGGGATGAGTCGCGAGCGAGATGAACGCCGTGCGGTGAGCAAGCAGTGCGGACTGGTTGGGGTCCTGGTCGCCGCTGACAGCAGAAGAATGTTGCCAATGGTCTGCGTAACAGTCCAAACCAAAGTCGCGTCGCAGGAGATCCATCCTCCACGGCGATTGAGGACAGCGGGAAGCTAACACGACGGAAGGAGTCATTCGCCTCGCAGTGATCTCGCAGTCGTGTTCTTCCAAGAGAGCATCCACGGCATCCCATATCGCAAGTCGGGACGCTGTCGACGATAGGTCGGAGGAAGGGCTAGCGAAATGGAGAACGGTTGTCGAGAGGTAGGTCTCCAGCCAATGAAGACGATCTCGGAACTGGTTCACACTCGGACGAGGCGGGCAGGACACAGGACCGCAATGGTCTACGCACGAGCACGGTCCGGAAAGAGGCCACGTCCAGACATCCCTGCCATACACGTACTCGTTGTACGCCGAGCACTGCGGACAGAGCATGTCTCGCCTCGATTCTTCGTGCTGGTGCAAGGCAGAGGTAGACAGACCCAGGAAATGAAGCATCAGGAGGGGGACAAGTTGCGCGCGAATCATGAGCAAGATCTCGGGTGGCAGGGAAGAAAACACAGGGGAGGCTCCTCCTTCGCAGCGCGCGTGTCCAAATGCAAGATTGTCGAATTCTCGAAGTTGGGGAGACGTGTATACGATGGCAGCGTGTAATAGGGTAGAGGACGCCGTCGTCGTCAATCTGCCTGGCATGATGGCTGACATGCGCGCGTTAAACGACGCGCAAATGAAAGCCGCAGGACACGCACCGTGCACGAAGATAACCGAGAGCCCGACTGTGCCCAGTTCCCCCCACCCCTCATTTACTTAACGGTCTGCGAAGACTTCATTCCGCGGACGAATCTGCAACGTCGATCTGACGTGGGTGATCCAGAACATGGCATTCTTTTCTTCGCAGCAATTTGAGAAGAATGGCGGGGGTGTTGGAAGAGGTCCCATTTGACTGGCAGGTCGATAATTGGTCCGACGCCTACCACCGAACGTCAAAATCCGGACATCGTGCCCACTCATACTCCACCGCGATGCATGAGTCGAGTCGCGATTTTGGAGTCAATGTGACGAATACTGCGACGGCAAAGGAGACAACCGGAGATTCGGACGGAAAAGGACCACGTTCAGAGCCACGCTGGAAAGTCAGAGGGAAAGGATCATGCACATGATGGAAGGTTTCAAGGTTCCGTGGAAATTGGAAGCGGAAACTTTGAAATGCAAAATTCAACTCAGCGAATGCGCATGTGCCATACGCACCTCAACGTTATTTTACATAAATAGGTACTGTGGTCCCTGCTGTGCCTCAAACTCATTCACGAAGTGGTCC